AGAAGGAGAAGAAGGAGAAGAAGGAGAAGAAGGAGAAGAAGGAGAAGGAGAAGAAGGAGAATGAGAAGAAGGAGAAAGAAAAAGAAGCCGCTGGTACGAAGGCTCAGGGCAAAGATTGACTGAGGCGTCCTGTACGAGCAGCTCATGCGCGTGGAGCAGTAGAAGCTGCGAAAGAAAGGCGTGTTGGACATTTTGGCCCAGAGGACTGTCGCTTTTCAGTCGGCGAATCAGCGAAGCAGAACGGAGGATGAGAGGGCAGGGGCATTGTAGCTGGCCAACACTCAGCCGCGCCATCGATGTGGGCCCTCGCCAACAGCAAGCGCAGGGGTACTGGCACCTGGAGATGGCTGGCTGGGAGGTGGCCGGACGAAGAGCTGTAGTGATTTATTCAGGCGTAGCGGCCTGGGGCTTATAGGGCATATACAGGAGCGTGTTCATTGCTTCTGCGGTGGCCGTTGCCAGGTGAAATGCACAACGCTTGGGTGTCTTCGACGCAGGTCTTTTTCCCTTTCCTCCATATAGTCAGGGGTCAAGTGGTGGAGCTTCAGCAGCCTAGTTATATATATATATAGTTCTTCCGAGAGCTTGACCCACTGGTTTGCTGCCTGACAGATCTGTCAGAGGGCAATCATGCTCGGCCTTGCCCGCAACTGATGGCCTTGATCAGGACTACTCCAGCGGCCAAAAATCCAGTGGGGTTACGCTCAGCCATTGCTACAAGTTTTGTTTCTTTAGCGCGCAATGCATATTGCATGCCTTGTTTTAATATACCCGTGGGTCCCATTGACTTTGTCCAATACTGCAGCGGGTTGACTCATGGGCAGCTGACTATCATGTCCGGTAGAACTTGGTTGAACCACGTCCAACATCTCTTGTTGCACATCTTGAAGCTGCAACGCTAAACACGTGGAGGCCTCAATAGTCTCAACAGTGACTTGGCTGGCCGGGGTGGACAGAGTTGTCATTTGTTGCATATCCACGCATGGGCACTTCCTTGGCTCCACAAGCGTGCGCTGTCTATGACAAACATATACCCGTACAAACATCATGGGGAAGAGGCCGGGCTGGCTCGGTTGCAATTGGTGACAAGCGAAAGGCTGAAGATGTTGGAGGTCTTTTCTGTTTGGAACAACTTTGCAAGGTGCAGGAGGGTTGGGAGGAGGACCCTAGAGAATATTGGAGTCTCAGGGGGCTGGACCGGATGCATGCCAGAATGGCGTGAAAGCATTGTTTGTGTTTAAGCTTGCTGCATCATACATACAACTTTCCAGCGTGAAAAGATTTCAATGCGGCTGCAGTTTTCGGAAGAGTCTGATAATTCCGTGGTTATGCATCAGTCAGGTTTGGAAGGCTTGGGTTTGCATGTTTCATCTCACTGCTGATTGCCGGTGTTATGACATGTTATGACATATATATTTTTACTGTGATACTATATAATATTATCCCATCATAATCCCCAGATAGCGGCGAGAGCTCTTGGGGTTCTTACCCCGAGTATAGGAATAGGTGCCTGTGTGCGCTTTGGAACTTGGCTGCTGGTGCCGCAGGGTGCCGCTGCCAGATGTGTGCCTGTGTGCGCTTTGGAACTTGGGTGCTGGTGCCGCTGCAGGTGTCTCTGCCAGATGTGTGGCCATGTGCGCCTTGGAACCAGCCACTGGAGGGCGCTGCAGAGTGCCGCTGCAGTTGTGCAGCTGCCCCACAAATGTGTTTTTGCTGTGTGGTCGGTGCCGGCCTAATTCTTTTGCTATACATCTTGTATTGCACTATGTATATCAATACAATGACGTGCCACGCCGCTTTGAAGCCGCTTAGAGAGGGAATCATAGGGTTCTAGCCTGGTGACTGTACAGCTGCCCTGTTTGTTGGCTAGTGGATAGCGCCCCTGCTTTGCGCTAAGGCACCGAAGGCGTCGCCTTTGACACTGTAGTATTGCAGGTGGGTAAGGGCTCCGCTGAAGAACGCTTTATCATTGGCGCTTCTTGGCCACATGAATCATGGTCATGGGATATAGGCTGGGTGTGGCTTGGGCCATACTATATCCATTAATCTACTGTAACTGTGAACTCTGCCAACACACTACCGTTTTTTGTTTCAGAGGTGATCGATGACGGTCATGGAAACTTAGGAGGTTCTCCGACATCGCTATTGCCCACTGCTTTTGAGCCTGGCTTCCAATCCGCAGGTGGTGCTGTATCAAACCTGGATTCCTGGCCAGACAAGACGGCACATGAATACGCAGATGTGTGCTCAATCAAGTGCTGTGAGGGCCCGGGTGCTGTGCTACCCCCAGAAAAAAGCATCGCCGTGGGTGGCAGTTTAGACAAAAGACGACTAGTAGAATTGTGTATTCGATTGTCATACGCCCATATTACTATATGAATAGAAGAACAGCAGCAGTAGCAACAATAAATAACAGCAATCATACATATAAATATATATATATAGGTTATTATATATTTGTCTATCAAGTTCCTTGGGTCGTTTGAGGTCCACAGCTTGGCCAGAGCCCACCGAAGGAGAGGAACTCACCGCTACCCTGGAGGAGTGCCTGCCACTTCGACACTCCAACCATTGCCTGTAGATTGTCATTTCTGGAAAACACGTTTTCTTTGGTTTGACCGTGGGTGCAGAAAAGGATCAAGTTTCTGGAGATGTACTCGATATATATACCTTGTTAACTAGCCAAATCCTGGGCCAAATCCAACCCAAAGGGTTGTTGTTTGGTTGGTCACTTGAATGAGGAAAGTTGGATGCTGCAAGCCATGAACCTTAACTGGTAGACGACATAGGTGGAGGACCCCTTGCGTCTTCGCAATAGGAGTACCGCTCAGTGATGCTCGCGGCCGGTATGACAGTCACGTGGCTAGCAACATGGTTTGTGAGTTCTTGTAGGATACGCACTCAAAGTCACGAGCAGAAAGCTGCTTTAGCTCGATCACCCCCCATTGAGGAAGTGGTGCTGGCCAGAGCTGGCCATGCATTCCTTCATCTCAAAGCTGACAATCGTATTTATCCTGCCTTGTGGAAAGATGATATGGGCCATGGTTCCGCCCTCGCAGGCCCTTTCTGCAGTGCTTTTGTAGCGTTGACGCTCCAGGCTGTCTTTGCCAGGTGTCCTTGTAGCCGCAGTGCTGGCTTTGGCCTTGAAGTTGACAAAGGGCGAGCGCCTGGGGAGGCCAGCTCACTTTGACGGGAAGAATTCAGAGAGGTCAAACCAGCATCAAACCAGATTCCCTCAGACTCAGACCTGTCAATGCTGAAAGAAGTAAAGATGGACATTTGCTTGACCTACCTTGCTCTCCCAACACCTTAGCAGATTGAGCAGCTCCACAGATATGTTTCACGCGCAATCCCGTGGGCCAATGGCTCTCTCTCTCCAAGGATCCTCGAAGCGCTGCTGCCCAGTGCCTGGAGGACGGCGAGTCCCGGCTTTGCAGGCGAGGAACGGGTAGGGCGGCTACAAGACAACTAGGGCGAGCACATTAGTAGCAATGGCCTCCCTAATAATCCTAATAGCGATGGCCATTGTTTTTATATGTCTATGGGATTTGACCTTTTCCAGCAGTGGTGCTCTTCATCCCTTCGAGGTGCTGCAGAATTTGGGCAGAAAGCTTGGCGCGAAGACGGTGCCGCAGCTGCAAAGAATTGATGCATTGACGGCAGGTCAGACAGCACGAGACTTACTGTAGTTTTGGCAGTGTGCCTGGCAGGCAAAGGAGCACCGGCTGCGGTGATGAATCTTTTGAACGATCCCGAGCCTCGAAAACAGGTGAGATCACGTAGAATGGACAGAATCACGCCGAACAGTTGAGGCAAATGGTGTTCCAGAGTCTAACGGGTAGGTGCACGCAACCGAGGTACCAGTAAAGTATGAAGGTGTGAGTTTGCATGTGGCAAACCAAGCCACTTGACAGTATGGATGTTTCATGTGTGTGGCCATCATGGCCCGAATGCCCCTGTTTCCACCACTAGCGGTGGGCGATCGATCCTGACGCCAATGGCATTGTGAAAAGGGCGCGACTTCGCGTGCCGCCCGACATTTCGTGTTCGAGAACTTCGTGAGTTTCGAGCCTCCACTCGGTCCCCTGCACTTCCGCACCAGTGTCCGAGTGACATTGGTAGCGGAGCTACCACGCTCCGGGTAGCTCCCTGCCGATCTCCGCAACACTACATCATATCCACCTTCAAAGCCCACTTCACCTTCCACGGAAACTGCACCAACAACCTTGTCATCTTCTTCACGCTCAGGAGCAGTGCTTACACCAGAGCTCTTTGACCTTGCTGAGTTCTACCGCACTCGCTCCCACCAGAGCTCTTTGACCCTGACGAGCTCTACAGCACTTGTGGTGACACCTCCTTCAACCTGAAGTATGGCTTCTACCACGACCACGGAAAAGAAGGTCGAGTTCGACAACCACTCGGCCCGGGATAGTTTCATCCCGCTCTTCGATGGCTCCCTAACGGGATACCGCGAATGGCGGAAAAGAATCTTGATCTACTACAGAAAAATGTCCCTGTCAAAACGGCAGGGCGAAGCGATCTTGAACCTGCTGGGCAGCCTCTCAGGAACAGCGTGGAAGTTGTGCGAAGACTTCAACCTGGATAAGGCAGAAGACCCAGAAGCTCTCCAAGAGATCTTGAAGATCTTGGACGGTTCCTTCCAGTATGACGCCAATGTCGAGATGCCTGCCGACTTCTCGTCCTACTTTGAGCATTTGGCTCGCAAGCCAGGTCAGACCTTGTTGAACTATGTGACGGACCACGATGACCGGCTGAAGCAAATCGAGAAGCATGGTGTTCGACTACCGACACAAATCCAAGGGTGGTTCCTCCTGACTAAGGCCGCCCTGACACGTGAGCAAAAGCAGATGATCATGACACAGGCCGCCTCACTTGAACGAGCCAAGATTCAGCAAGCGATGTTTGCCATCCTCGGCCAAGACTACAAAGGTGGCGGTCAGCTCCTCAGAGACCGCTGGAACCGTGCTGGATCCGGCAAGGGCCGTTCATACTTTGCTGGCGATGACTCCGAAGCCTTTTTCGAATGGGATGACAACGCCCCGACCTATGAGGAGGAAGATAATGCCTACTACATGGATGATGAAGAGAACTATGATGACCAGTGGTGGGAGTCATTCGATGCCGATGCCGCCTACTACCAGGAAGAACCTGATGAACACGAGCATGAGTTTGACACCGAAGAGTACGATGAGGCCTATGCTTCATACGTTGATGCTCGCAAACGCTTCAATGATTTGAAGCTCAGCAGAGGATTCCTTCCTGTGGTGGCTCTCCAGGACTCTGGCCCTTCATCGAGTTCCACCTCCTCGCAAAAGCCTTTCAAAGGCATGGGAAAAGGGAAGAAAGGAAAAGGCAAAGGAAAAGGAAAGAGCAGCACCTATCGCTATGACCGACCTCCTGGAAAGCCTGCAGATCCAAAAGGGCGAGCTCGTGCAGCAATGGCTCCAGCATGTATGCGATGTGGTTCAACGTTCCACAAGACAGCTCAATGCACACAGACGAGCTCTACGCCTAAACCGGCAACTACGACAAGCGGCAAGCGCCAAGCAGTTGAAGGAATGGCCATCTTGCAAGACGAAATGACCTTAGTCATGCTTGAGGACTCCTTTGGCCATGAACGCCCTGACTGTGCTATGTTGGACCCTGGCGCTTCATCGTTCTTGATGGGATCAGGTCCCTTGGTCCGCTATGTCAACCACCTCCGGCAATTGGGCTATGACACTGACAAGCTCCAACTACAGCGCTGCCATCGAGTTTTTCACTTCGGGGGTGACCACCAGAAGGTCAGTTCTTGGGTAGCCAAAGTGCCAGTCTACCTGAATGGACAACATGGACTGATCCAAGGCTTCGTCTTGTCTGGTGAAACTCCTATGTTGGTTGGAAGACCCGTGATTCGCGCCTTGGACATGACCATCGACTTCTCCCAGCAGAAAGTCAAGTTTGGTGACGCTGACTGGCAAGATGCAGTTCTCGGTCGCCACGAGGAGTACCTCCTTGACCTCACGTCCTCGTTTGAGACCGAGCAGCTGACGTGGGAACCCTCCTTCGACCTTCAGCTTGATGAGAAACTGGGCGACCCTGGCTCTATGGAAGACTTCTTGATGGAAGAGCACCTCTACCAAGTTGAAGAACAGATGCCACCAGAGGACACGTCTCCCATGACCACCAAGCACTGGAAGACCTTGATCATGCACACCCAAGCTCAGCTGAAATCGATGAACACCTTGGTTGATCAGGCCATCAGACAAGAACATCAAGCTCCTCCTCGTGTCCTATGGGAAGTCTATACCGGAAGAGCTCGACTGTCGCAGATGGCTGAAGTAATTGGCATGACCGTCAAAACGTTCGGCTTTGAGACAGGATGGAACTTCGCGCTCCAGTCGCATCAGCGCGCCTTCCTGGAACTACAAGACCAAGAGATGCCGGACGAGATCTACCTGTCTCCCAGTTGCGGTCCATGGTCACGCATGCAGAACATCTCTGCAACTTCCGAGCAGAGAAAAGAAGTACTTCGAGGTCTTCGAGAATGGCACCACAGGACCCACCTTCAGTTCTGCAAGCGAGTCTATTTGAAGCAGTTGCACTCAGGACGACATGGACACATTGAGCAGCCAACTTCAGCATTGTCTTGGGACACAGCAGCGCTTCACTCCTTGCCTGGCTATCGAGCACGACATCATCAATGTCAGTATGGTGCTATGTGCATGGATGTTGATGGAGCATGGAAGCCAGCAAGAAAAGACACCACCATCCTCACGACCAAGCGCTCCGTTGCAGAGACGATGAACCGGCTATGCTCAGGTGATCATGAACATTGTCGACTTGAAGGCTACATGAAGGGACATGGCACTCATCGAACCTCATTCATGGAGGAGTACCAGCCCGCCTTCGCATCCACACTGGCTACTTCATTGGCCTGTTCAGAAAAGCCTCAAATCTGGGAAGGCTCCTTCGCGGTTCGTGAGCAGTCGCAATACCTGGGCAAGATCGTTGATCTTCACGCAGAAGGCAAGCAGAATGCTCTACGAGTTGTTCAGAAGCTCCACCGAAACCTTGGTCATCCTTCTGCTCAAGCCCTGGTCGATCTCCTTCAAGCCAGAGGCGCTTCGACTGATGTTTTGTCCGTGGCTGAGAACTACCTCTGCAGCTCATGTTTGCGCTACAAGAAACCAAATCAACCTGCACCAGCCAACGTGCAGAAGGCCGACCGCTTCAATCAGTCCATCCAAGCTGATGTCTTCTGGATCCGCACCGACAAGAAGAAGTGGCCGATCATGGCCATCTTGGATAGTGCTACGAAGTACCAGGCAGCATGTCAGGTCCAGACCGAGCAGACCCAGGACTACATCCTTTCTCTTGAGCGACATTGGATTGCTCATTTCGGTGTCCCAGAAGAGTTGGTGACTGATGAAGGTCGCGGCTGGCTTAGCAATGAGTTCATGGAATGGTCCGACAGCCACAGCATCAGCCATAAAGTTGCTCCTGGTGAAGCACACGAACGACTGGGTCAAGTTGAACGAAGACATGCAGTCTTGAGAAAGGCCATCGAGGTCTACATGCGCGACCTGAAGCTGGAAGGAAGAGAAGGCATTCGTCAAGCCTTGACTTATATCCTGCCTCAACTCAATGCTCAGCCCACGGTTGCAGGATTCTCGCCGACTCAATGGGTCCTTGGCTATCAACCTGCTCAACCTGGTCTACTGCAGTCCAGTTCTTGCGCCCTGCACGAACACGAGACCTTCAAGAAGCATTTGCACCAACGCAATGTGGCCAAGACTGCAATCCTCCAGGCGGAAACTGATCGGAAGCTGAGACGAGCTCTCCTCCGACGCTACTCTGGCGTCAATCAACGGTTGCTAGCTGGCCAAAGATGCTTCTACTGGCGAGATGCGCAACAACATGAGCTGTGCAAGATTCGATGGCGTGGACCCGCAAAGGTCGTCTGTGTCGAGGAAAAAGACGGCAGCCCCCATGTCTATTGGTTGGCTCACAAGACACAACTCATTCGAGCTGCACCACATCACGTTCGAGCAGACTTCACTGCCATCGAAGAGACCGCTGTCGAGAACTTGAAAGATGCTGCATCCACGCTTCAGTCACTGAAGTCAAGAGGCGTGACCAGATTTCTTGATCTGAACAGGGCCAACAAACAAGACCTGCTAGATGTTGAAGAACACGAAGAAGAGATGTCTCCCGATGAAGGCCCAGAACACAAACGCCGCCGACTCGATGCAGCAGTCGATGACTCCTTGGAGGACTACACTCCCTCAGAGCCAGCGGAACCTACTGATGAAGTTGACACTCCGGGAAATCCATCTTTCCCAGCCGCTGCTCCTGCTGCCTCCACGGCTCCTGAACCTCCAGAACATCCAGCAGTACCAGAACACCTTTTACCGGCTGTTCCTGAACACCTGGATGAGATGTCCGATCAGCCGGAACCTTCGATTGAGCCTGAGCCTCCAAGTGTTCCTGCAACTCCGATGAACCTTGACCCTGTGACGTCAGAGGCCTACAGGACTCCAGTTGCCCCTGAGACCTTCGAGCAGCAACGACTTCGACTTGACAAGCAGGAAACCCTGTCCTTTGGTCCAAGACGACCACGGCATCATGAGCAACCAAGCCCTTACGCAAGGCCTCCTCACGAAACTGGTGAAATGGTGTTTGAAGTCCAGGACATTGACACGGCCAACCTTCCTCATGGCTGGACTTTTAACAAGAACAACAATTCCCTGGAGCTCAAACAAAAGTTAGCTGACTTCTGGGAAGTCAAGGGTGGATGCCTTATTCGCCATCACATACGACCACGGTCAAAGAAATTTCTTCCAGGCGACCAGGCTGATCTTCCAGTGCCCTTGGAGAAACTTGATGATGTCAGAGTCACCATCTTTCGTGAGCCAGGACAAGAACCTTCGGCGACCACCGACCACTTCAAGACGGAGAACGTGTTCAAGAGACACTCCAAAGAAGCCGCCAAAGGTTTACCTCCAAAGTGGGTTGGATGCACGATCTTTCAGATCAATGCCGTGACTCGCATGGAACTTGGAATGACTGCAACCTTGTCCTCTAGCTCTCCCACATCCGTGAAGCCCATCCGAAAGGCCGCTCAGCACATGAAGAACCAGCAGCTCCGACGCATCAAGAAAGAGAAAAGCAAGTCGGAAATCAAAGAAAAGAACCTCACACAAGCAGAACAACAGCTGTTCTTCGAGGCCAAGTGCAAAGAGCTTCGTAGCTTCTTCGAATGTGGCGTCTGGGAATTCACTACCTCAGACAAGGCTGAAGCAGATCGAACCCTGTCCAGCCGAATGCTGCTGAAATGGGCAAAGAATCCCGATGGCACTCCCAGGGCTAAGGCCCGATTGGTTGTTCGTGGCTACAATGATGCCGATGCCTTAGCTGGCAATTTGGACACCCAATCGCCTACGGCATCCAGATTGGCTCGCAACCTGCTACTCTCCATCTCTGCCATGTTGAGATGGAGTGGATGGTCCGCCGACGTGGCCACAGCATTTCTTCAAGGACTACCTCAACAGAGGCAGCTGTGGCTCCGACTTCCAAATGATTGCCTCCACATCCTTGGTTGCGGTCCTGAAACCCGCATGGCTTTGATCAAGCCCGTCTACGGACAGTTGGACGCCCCTCGTCGTTGGTGGCAAGAAGCCACGAGGAGACTGACACAGGAAGGGTGGACACCACATGACCTTGATCCATGCCTTTTTGTACTTCATCAACATCATGAAGATGGCTCCTCTGTTCCTTGTGGCCTGATAGCGCTTCACGTGGACGACATGCTTGGAGCTGGTGACCGCGGCTGTGCCACCTACATTGCAGCTGAACGACGCCTGAAGGAAGTTTTTGAGTTTAGAAGTTGGCAAGAAGATCATGAATCCATGGAGTATTGCGGTGTGATCCACAACCGAAAAGACTTCACCTGGAACCTGTCACAAAGCCACTTCTTGCACAAAGTGAAACCTGTGACTGTTCATCGAGGACGTGGCCCTGAAGATCCGATGAATGAACATGATCGAGGACAGCTACGAGCCCTCCTCGGAAGTTTGCAATGGCCCTCAGTCCAGTCACAACCTCATCTACAGGCTAGCTGCAGTTTGATCAGTGGACAACAGCGCACTGGCAAGCTTCGTGCAATCATGGAAGCAAATGCCCTTCTCAAGTTCGCCAAGGAACAAGCTGATGTGACCTTGAAGTATGAACCATTTGAATCTGTCAGCAACCACTCCGACCTCTCTAAGATCCGCCTGGTGGTGATGTTTGATGCCTCTCATGCAGCCCGGGAGGACTACACCTCTCAAGGAGGACACCTGGCGATCCTGGTCCCTGAAGAGGTCTTTGAAAAGGAGACCCCATACCATGTGGTTGATTGGCGCAGCTACAAACTGCCCCGAGTCGCACGTTCCAGTTTGAGTGCAGAGGCTCAAGCAGCTGGTGGCGCCAGTGACAGTGCCGAATACATCTGCAGGTTCTGGTCAATCATTTTTGACCCAAAGCCCAAGCTTCGTGAGCGACTACAAGAAGGTTCAGCCCTACGACCTACCTTGGTCACCGACGCAAAAGCTCTCTACGATGCATGGCATAAGGAGACCACCACCTCCGCAAGTTCTTCAGTGGACAAGCGCACCTACCTCGAGATCAAGGTGGCTAAGCAGCAGACAACTGACCTCGAAGGTTGTCTCAAATGGGTCAGCAGCGAAAGACAATTCGCTGATGGTTTGACAAAGAGCTCTACAAGAAGCCTGCTGGCTGATCGCTTGAGGCGACACCGCATCAAGCTGGCCTGGGATCCTCAGTACACCTCGGCCAAGAAAAAGAGCAAACAAGAACGCGAAGAAAGTCGGCAAGAGTTCGCTGACGCAAAAGTGAAGAATAAGACCAACACGAAACAGCACAAACCACAACAACACCACCTCAACTCCACCGAACACCTTGAAAGTGTGCAGGAAGAGTCGAGCTTCGAGGATGAGGATGTCTTGCAGGATGAAGCCGCCGACACTGGACCTACATCATGGCCGAGTTCCAAGTCCTTGAGAACCCCTATGGCAATGATGATCTACTTCACACAGATCAAGGCTGTTACGGCAGAGTCCACAGGTGACTTCACGCAGTTGAAGCCAGACGATCTTTGTTTGGCTGGCGATGAGCCTGCTGAGGAATGGTCCATTTTGACCTACTTGTTCCTCTTCATCCTCTTCACCACCCTCGTTGTGAGCTACCTGACCTACAAGCTGGGCAGATTTCATGAGCACCGCCGACAGGTGAACGACCTGAAGGTCAAGTTGAGGGTGGCCCAAGCTCGAAATGAACGACACTTCGACAGTGCGTTGGATGACCAATGCCTGTTCTTCGACCGCCGCATCTCCCAGCTGGAAAACGATTTGGTGAAAGCTGCTGAGGCCAATGCGGAAACCCGCCGGCATCACAACGAGATGATGGAACAATGGCGCCTGGAACAGCAAGAAGCCGAAGAAATCGACCAGTCCTTTCGACAATGTCAGGCCTTGCTGTCGCGCTGCTACCGGGAACTCCTGGACCATTTTGATGAAGATTGCCCTCTCACCACGGGCACCCATGTGACGCCTTTCGGTCACACCTTCCACGTCCGAGCTGATTGCCACGGCCTGAAGCAGGCTCACCGTGTTGATCGACGTCCTTGTTGCGCTTTCTGCAACCCTACTCCTCAGACTCCTCACCGAGTCAATGGCTTGAGCGGCACCACGCTTCAGGAAGACATGATGTCCTGGAGGCGAGACTATGGAAACCTGCCATATGAGGAATGGATGGTCGACTAAAGTTTGAAGCTGGAGAGTTTCTCTTTTTTTCATACACCTTTTACCGGTGTGAGTTTGCATGTGGCAAACCAAGCCACTTGACAGTATGGATGTTTCATGTGTGTGGCCATCATGGCCCGAATGCCCCTGTTTCCACCACTAGCGGTGGGCGATCGATCCTGACGCCAATGGCATTGTGAAAAGGGCGCGACTTCGCGTGCCGCCCGACATTTCGTGTTCGAGAACTTCGTGAGTTTCGAGCCTCCACTCGGTCCCCTGCACTTCCGCACCAGTGTCCGAGTGACAGAAGGATATTTTCCCACAACTTGCTAAGGAGGAAGATCTACCGATCAGCAAGTATCCACCTGGGATGCGGACAGAGAGAAGAGACTTGCCATTTGAATTTGGCTGCTCAATCGCACCTTGACCTTACATTTCCTTCAATGAGCCCAGCTGACATATGCCATTATGCGCTTGTCAATGGAGGTGATGTCCTGGCTGCGGCAGCAGCTGGACCGCTGGAAATCTCTATGGCTGCAGGGAGTCCAAGGAAGCAAGATGAAGTAGCTTTTTCTGGAGCATGTAGTTCGGAAACCGTTGTATTTCATGTATAATGAATTACCGACTTGGGCAACAGTCCACAGTCGATTCAGTGTTGGTTCCGACTGAACGTGTTTGAGGCTGACTTGCCTCGAGCTGGTCAGGGAGGTGGGATATTTGCTGAAAAATTGCACCGTGCTCACGCTGATTGGACCTGCAGATGGTGTGACAGGCTATGCAGCCGCCACTAGCCCAGCCCCAAAAGCACGTCGGTGGCAAAAGCGCTAGGAGATCATGGAGATCGTAGGACTCCTTAGGACCCATCAAAGAAATGGGAGGGTGAAGAACGCCTTCCCCAAAAACTGATTCGGACACATGTCTGGAGTTTGATCCAGAATCCGGACAGTGTGGCATCTGCTTCTTGCAGAGTTGGCATCTTAAAGAAGGAAACAGGCCTGCAGCAAGTGCACAGCTATTCAGCCTGCCAAATGCCAGCCCGTCCGGCACATATTGTAGCAAAAATGGCTTGTCCTATTTCCAGCTTTTGGCCAAAGGAACGGGTGGACGAGTAAGAAGAACACTGAGCAAGAGCCCCAAGTGGCTGCGTTGACAACCTGAGCCGTCATAGGATGCCCCGTGAGGCTTCGAAACACTTTGCATTCGTAGAGCGGCCTCATTGCCGCACATTGCCATGGCTTCACGGGACTTGGCCTTGGGTGCCGCCCTGGGTTTCTCGAGCGCCACCACGCTGGCCGTCGTTTTGATGCGGAAATACTTGCGTGAAGAGTTACGACCGCCCAAGCTGATCCACTCACCGGATGAGCGTCTTGAAGAGGATCAGAGGCTTTTAGAAGAGGTGAAGTTGTCCTTGCGCGACTATTGGCCACATCCGGTTCTGGAGTTTAGTGGCTACATGTCCACCTTCTATAGTGGCTTTTGGGCCGTCATGCCCTCGATGCATGGCACGGGATCCTTAGAAACGATCGCTCTCTCAGACGGTGGCGAAGTATCTCTTCACTGGTATGACCCTCCACGCGCTGAAACAGACAAAGTTCTACTGGTTCTGCCGGGGCTCAACAACAACAGCCGAACTAGCTTCGTCCAGGCCGGGCCTGCACGCCAAAACCGGATGCGATTGAGAGAGGCATTTGGAATATATGGAATCAAGCTTTATTGGGCATGGCATGGTTTTGAAACATGTTGAAGATATTAATGCTCGATGTTTGCTCAGTATGAGTAGTCGACTCAGCATGTTTTTTGTTTTTGGTAGGACTCCCCGTCAGGCCACCATGAGACACATCAGGAGCGAAGGTTTTCAAGCGGTTGCTCTGAATTATAGAGGCCTCACTAGCGACTTGAAGACTCCCAAAGTGGCCTCTGCTGAATCATGGGCTGATATCCATGAAGTGGCGCAGCATATATTGAAAGTGAAGCCCAACTGTGAACTATTTGGATTGGGTTTCTCCTTGGGTGGAGGAATGCTTTTGCGACACTTGGGCTTTGAAGGAGAGCGGACTCTCTTTAAGGCAGCTGTGACAGTGGCCGCGCCGGTGGATTTCACAGGGGCCTGTGCGGCTCTGGAATCCTCACGACGGAAGCTCTTCATCAACTTCATGATTTCGCAAGGTGCCAAGGCCTTCATGTTGCAGGGGCTTGTGAAATCCAAGTTCAGAGACCGTGTTGATCTCAAGCGCGTCTTGCTGGCCACACGGCTGAGCCAAATCGAAAGCGCTTTGATTTGCCCACTGATGGGCTATGCTACACCAGCGGAATATTACGAGGCCAACAATCCAAGGCCATTCCTTCACAAGGTCTCAGTTCCAACATTGGTGGTGAACGCAGAGGATGACCCAGTCATAAGTTTGCACACTCTTCCCTTCGATGAGCTGAAAAGAGACCTGGAAGGCACAAGAAAAACGACAAATCATCCACATTCTCGTTTGTTGTCGTCCTGCAGCGTTTTTCTTGGTCTTGAGTTTGAGTTTGTAGCTTGCAACAGCTCGCCATCGAAAGAGGAGCGTATTGAGTCATGCTCGGTCCTGGTCAGCATCCAAGGAAACCCGCGGATTTATGTGGCCGTGACCAAGCGTGGTGGGCATATCGGTTGGGGTAGTGGCGGCTTGGGCGCTGGTGCCTGGACGGATTCAATGGCAGCGCACTTTCTGCAGGCTGCAGGAAGGCGGTCTCAAAAAGCTTTTGATCGGTATCCGGTATCATTACTAGGGGCTCCTGGCTGTACTACTAGGAGCAAGGACGACGCTACTAGGGGCTCCTGGCCTTACTGC